CAATCAATCTATCAATATTCTACAAGCACCTATACATATGCATTACCTATCCCCGCCTTCCCTCGCTTCTCATGCTAATTAGCCTTTTGGCACCTTGCGCCTGCGTAGAGCCTCCCAAGAATTGTGGGCAGGGGTCTTTGGGACGTGGGCAGGGGTCTTTGGGAGGAAGACCCCGAGTCTTCCTCACAGTGTACTTTTCACCTTTGGTCAGGAATCTGCTGAATTGGCACGTTTCTTAATTGCGAGAGCTGGTTGTTGCTAATTCTTCCGTTTGTTGTATCTTTATAATGAATTCCAATGTCCAGTTTTGAGATTTATAGTCCTTGCATTTGTTTCTCTGTCCGTCTGCCGCTTCCTTATCATGAGTTCCAGTGTCTTGTTTCGAGATATACAGTCCATGTCTGGGGATTGTCCTTGCCTCCCCAATGCCTCCCCAATACCTCCTTAATCACTGTATCCAGGAGAGAAACGAGAGGTTTTTATTTATTTAAAGCTCATAACACAGCTGTTCTGTCAATTACCAAATAATAGAAAGGCATGCAGTTGAGGATATTATCATTACAATGCACAAAGAAGTGTTAAAAATGATGCTTTTCTCTTTTCTCTGTATCATTTTATCTACCAACTTCATCATCTATATGAACTCTCCTAGAAGAGACCATGTCTATATTGCAGAATGGATCTTAGTCTTGATGTGCACCTTCATGCTTGCAAAGATCATGTATGTGACTCTTTGTTCCTTGTGTGGTTAGGTTCTGCACTAATATTTCTGTGGATACTGCTCTGTCCAGAAGTCTGAGAGAAAGCTTACCTGTCTTGCTATGTGCAAATACTAAAGATACCGTGAATAGTATGTTTCAGTTTCTTGAATACATTGTACTGCTGAGCATTCTCAGCAACTGGTCAATATCTGGACCAGCACAGGTATGGAGTAGGATGCTCATAAAGGGCAGGCCGCATTTAGGAGTAGGGAGCAATGATTTCTGAAGGTAGAGTACAACATAGGAAATGTTGTTTCTTCTGGTGTTTCTTCTACCAGAGTTCCTGGTAGAAGAAACTGCAGTTATGTGGGGTGGTAGTAGCCTGTATTTTTGATAGACTGAAAGTAAGATAGCACTGCCTACATCTCTGTGGGTATAGATACAGCAGTGTTGTCAACAGCATGACTTCATACAACCTGCACAAACAAGATTCTATTTATTTATTTATTTATTTTTCCAGTGATCATAGTAGAGCACAGAGCGTTTTCTGACCTTGTACT